AGATGGAAGGAAATAGCAATGAAATAGTTTTGTGATAACAAAATAGGATAAATTATTAAAAAATGAACTTCAAGTTGTTTTGTCTGCTTCAGATACAATTTAATACTTATTTATCTGAAATTCCCTCATTTTAAAAGCTCACAATGTAATATAAATCAGCTTTTCTAAAATTGTATAATTTTTAATAATGACAAAAATGGAAATGCCTCGGGGGATTGTACACTTGGTTAGAGCAGTTTTTAAGAGTTTACTTTAATAATTAATCTACAATGAAAAGTCATTCAAGAATAGAATTTTATATGCATGGAAAGTCGTGTACTATGAAAAATAGAAAGGAAAATACTGACTAACCATTGGACGAGAATGAATGGGTGATTATGTTCTAAACAAATAGATACATCCATGCATTTAACTATAAATTGGAAATTTAAGTCTATAAAATTAGCTGCACATATTAGTCTACCTTTTTTATATTTTTTTTTCAGGGGAAACTTTAAACATTCTAATGAACTATATTCAAATATACCTATCAATGAGTAGTAAATATAAACCACAAAACTTAAGTCAGTCTGTCAGAAAAAATGTGCAAACAAGTGAAAATTTAAGCCAAACTGTTCAAGTATAAAAAAAAGTCAATTGTGCAAAACTTTTTCAAAAGCTCTAGATACATCTCAAAATGCAAACCTTGCATCCATTCCATTATCTATGGTATTGATAATTTTATAAGATATTTCAATTAACTGATTAACAATAGAATCAATCACCTGACTGAAATCCAGATTGAATTTTTGACAAAGGTTATTACTCTTCATATGATTATACAAGTGTTTTAAAGAATCTTTTCAATAATCTTGCAGACTAATAGTAACAGAAATAGGAGAAATAAAGAGATGAGAGAATTAACATGTGCAATTTTCGTTAACAATGGAAACTTTTTAACTGAAAGAAACATAAAATATTTTATATGATGGGCTAGCAACCTCTTTTAATGGGGCATTAGCTGTCAAATTCATGTTCACTGATTTGACTCAAATTTTCATATTTGATTTATAACATACTAAAGCGTATATCCAAATTAAAATGAGTCTGAAAAAAACAATAAACAATGAATGGTAATATATATCTGCATTTCGTGTGTATTTTAGTCCAGACGCCATCTAATTACTCATCGAGATGACCTCCGAAGACTGCCGACGGTCACATAACCCGATATGAACAGAAACAGAAATATAAATAAATAAGCGACCACGTGCAATTGGACGTTTCTATGTGTCATGTTGTAAGTTTAAAAAATAAGTTAATCATCATCGCTTTTACCTGTATAAGAATGATTTTTTGTGCATTGAATCAGTCATAGAAATGGTTCACCTTTGTTTCACTTTCAATGTTGACATTCTTTTCCTTTTAATAGCTGAACACGCATAATATATGCGTAACCAATCTCTAGCTAAGGGGTTAAATTAAAGGTCACATGAATACGGATTCAATGAGGTCGAATTATTCACTTGCAAGTTTTGAATTTTGAATTAAAAACATGTCACTACAAACCAGTAAAAGTCTAAAATGGCCTATATCTGTACTCGACTGTACTGATTTTTACTCGACCAGTCTGAATTGGTCTGAAATTTACTTGATAATACTCGACTGTAGTCTGAACCGTACTTAACAGTCTGAACTTGTACTCGACCCTTACTCGACCAGTACTTAACCATTTTATACGTGTCTGAACCATGCTCGACCTAGTCTGAACCATGCTTGACCTAGTCTGAACCATACTCGACCTAGTCTGAACCATACTCGACCTAGTCTGAACCATACTCGACCAAGTCTTAACCAACCTAGACCTATTTTTTGTATCTATCTATTGTATTTCATCAATTTAGGAGCTGTTTTTAACAACAACTATTTCCCCTGGCTAGAAATTTGAACAACAATTTGAAATTAAAAATGTATTCAATATAGCATTGAAACCAAAATTTCACAATAAACATAATATAACTTCATCACCATATTCATCAACACTTATATACATACATATATTTCACCTTTAAAATAAAAATAAAACAAGCTGATCAAATAATCTCAAAACTGAATTGTGACTTATATTTTCAATGTTATTCAAATTTTTTTGAATGTTTCAGATATATTTTATGGTTACTGGACAATTTTCACCATTAACTTAAGCCTCGTATATAATGGTGTCAGTTGAGTTTAGTTAATAATGCAGTGAACATTTTTTTTATTAAAATATATATAAAATAGCATATAAAGCAACTTAATAAATTTAAAATATGACACCTTTGTTTTGTTAAACCAAGAATTTAATATAATCCTGATAATAGAACTTCCATAGTAATCCTGTGATAAACTTTTAAAAAAGGAAATGTGTTCCAAAGTTACAGTAAAAATTTATTTCAATTACATTTAAATAATTTTTGTCAAAATTAAAGACATGGCATACAAGAAGCACTTTAATAAGGTTTAATTACCTCAGTACATGTGTGTTTTACAGGTAAAAAGAAAGCCCTATTTTTCTTAAACTCGTGTATTACTTATCTAATGAATTCAAAAGGCCTTGCGATTTAAGTTTCACAAGATGTTGCAATTTTGAATGAATGTTATTTAGAATTTAATACTCTCTGACCAGGTGTGATTTTTTTCATGAGTTTGCCCCAAGCAGGAGGTATTACTTTATACTTCACCACTAATCAGAAGAACAATTTTATTAATTTCTTTAATTTTTATCCCTTTTTGATATATTGTATATAATATATCCCAAATTATAATAAAAGATATATTTCTAAAATAAGGTTAAACAATTTCAGTGATTTTGTTGGCTGTTGTTACCTCATTAAAAAGATAATTATATAACTATTGTACATTTTTTGTATGTAACCATGAAACCTATATATGTAGTTTTTATCTAGAAAAAAAACACATGCAAAACAAGAAGCACCTTAATAAGGTTTAATTACCCTCAGTATATGTGTGATTTTTAGGTAAAAGAAAATCTTTTTTTAACAAAACTCTAAAACTTTAAAAATTTAATATAATTAAATTATTATATAAGATAATTTGATTTAACTATCTCTATTCGATAAATCTGAGAATCATGTAAGAATGTAAAAATCTGTTTTTATAATATATCTTTATTTTATTGTGGCTGTTGTCATGTCAGTTAAAAAGAAATTTATTTTAACAGTTAAAATTTAGAAAAAGTAGAGGTTATTTGGTCAAATATGGTTCAGACTGGTCGAGTATTGTTCAGACCTTTGGTCGAGTATGGTTTAGACTGAAAAAAATAGGTCGAGTACAGGTCGAGAATGAGTTAAGACTGTTTCAGACTGGTCGAGTAATAGTTCAGACTATTTTCAATGGCAAAGATAAGGGTAAAGTACAAATCAGTACAGTCGAGTATGGTTAAGACTAGGGTCGAGTAAAGTCGAGTAAATTTCAGACCAATTCAGACTGGTCGAGTAAAAATCAGTACAGTCGAGTACAGACATAGGCCATTTCAGACTTTTACTGGTTTGTAGTGTGTGTTGTACAAAATCTCTGATTTGTCCAATGGATGTGGATGAATGAAATTTTGGTCATCATGATCTAAAAAGGGTGAATCTCTGTGTTTAAATGACATGAAGGAGGCCTATTATCATTATATTCAGTATCAATTTTAGCTATTTTAGCAAATGATTGTACAACATCTCTGATTTGTTCAATGGATGTGGATGAATGAAATCTTGGTCATCATGATCTAAAAAAGGGTGAATTTCTGTTTTCAGTAAAATTTGACACTGACTTGGCAATGCAACACCATTTACCAGGAGTAATATTTATCAATAAATTGGCTTTCAAATATTTGTTTCGAGCGTTATTAATGAAGAATAATTCAGAACAAAGCTACCGACGCACGAAAAGTAATAAAAGTTTATATTTTTACACATTCCTCTTAAGAAAAAATGTATTCATCAGAGTAATTGGTGTTGCTATTAGGTTTAATCATACCCGGTTTATCATAGGTATTGGCTATAACTTTAATAAGTCGCAGTTGATACATGTAGCTTGACAACTTCATCTAAATCTGACAAACCAATATGTCTAAATTTTATACCCGCACTTATAAAGATTACATGTGCGCTGTTAATAAACCAAAGCTGAAGATGGTAGTTATGTTTCTAGTAGATGATTTAATTCTCAAGCTTCTATATCACTCCTCGCCGCGATATAGCCTTGTTGTGCTAATGCGGCGTAAAGCAACCAACAATCAATCAATCAATAAATATCACTCCTTTTAAAGAAATAATTGGTTTAGACTTGAAGTTGTCAATATTGAGATCCTGCAACACATGTTTGTAATTCAAAATTTGAGATGCGATAGGTAACTCATTTCTTGTAGACAATAATGCCCTTTTTAAAGACTGAAATTTTACATGTTTATGGAAGTAACAAATTTTAATAAAAAACGATAAACTTATCAATAATTCGAGAAAGGTAAAATTATTTGAATAAGACAGCACCTTAATGACGTAATAAAGCTGAAATCAATAAAAAGGGACTTTATGGCAATATTTTTTTAACTGTTTATGACAAACTTCCCCATTTCCATTCTCAATTTTATTATGTGCCTTTTATCAATTGAAATCGAGTCTCTAAGAAATAAAATGTTTCTTAAATCCAACAAAGTGCACAAATAAATTGGTTTGATGAACATGAATCTTGAGTTGGACACATAAGTAATATTGTTATAACATTCACGCGTTAATGATCATATACGGTAAGAAAGCAAAAGCAACAGCCGTTAGTTTTCTCAATTGAATTGTTTTACATTTGTGATTTCGGGACCCTTTTTTAGCTGACTATGCGGTATGGGCTTTGCTCATTGTTGAAGGCCGTACGGTGACCTATAGCTGTTAATTTCTGTGTCATGTGGTCTCTTGTGGAGAGTTGTCTCATTGGCGATCATACCACATCTTCTTTTTATATTGTTAAGTAATACTCACTTGTTTTCTACGAGAAAATAAAAGAGATTTTCTTAGAGATGATGTAAAGCATGGCACCTGACAACATTGGTGATCATCGAAGTACTTCGAAGTACAATTATTGACTTTCTGTAGAAGCTCTGTAAGCTTAGTTTCAGCTCCTTCTAATCGCAGAATCTCACATAAGATCTCTATATAGATTGATCCCATTTCCGTATTTCTCCATGCCACATAATCTGCAATATTAAAAAAATACGTTTATGCCTAAAATATAAAAAAAAATTACTCGGAAAATAAATCGCATGTTAAATGTATAAGATCACGTGCGGCGTTTTACGTTTCCGCAAATCAGCATTACTTTTCCGCAAAAAAATGAATTATGTTTCCACAAATTTACGACATTTCTTCAAAAAATATGTTTTGGATTTACGTGTCCGCAAATTTGTCTTCCTCTGTAAGTGAATGTTACATGTTCATATATTGCAAATAAATAACTTATGTTGTGTTGTCAGACCACTGTCGCAGGTTTGGGGGGAGGGGGGGTTGAGAGCTCACAAACATGTTTGACCCCACCGCATTCTGTATGTGCATCTCCCAAGTCAAGAGCCTGAAGTTCAGTGGTTGTCGTATGTTCATGTCTGTCATATTTGTTTTTCGTAAATTAATTTATTATTAATTAGCCGTTAGTTTTCTCGTTTTAAGTGTTTCACATTTTGTATGTCGGGGCTTTTTTTCTGACTATAAGATATGTGTTTTTCTTATTGTTGAAGGCCGTACGGTTTCCTGCAATTGCTTACATCCACTCCATTTGAACTGGTGGATAGTTGTCTTAGTGGCAATCATATCACATCTCCTTATTTTAATAAAGTTCATTTCTAATTAGAATATGTTTAGCAGGTAGTTGAAAACTGCCAAACAAGGAAAAACTTCACAATATTTTTGGAAAACGACAAACCGTTTCATTTTCCCACATGGTACTCACAAAGGACATGCTCTCGTGAGGGATTCACTTTTTCAAGACTGAAGCGGTTAAACGTTTAGAATTGAATGAATTTCAATTTACAATTTTTTTAAAGTTTTAATGTTGAAAATTTCATTTAAAACAAATGTCAGTCTTAAGTTCAAGATTACCTTTTGAAGAGACAAGTGTCTAAATTGAAAATCAACTATAAAAAACATATTTGTTTTAATCATAACAAAAATTTGATTCATGGAAATAAACAGCATTGATATATGCCTATATGTCGAGAAACGGACAAAGGGTTATATAAATAGAATCCACTATAGTACTTATTATGATTTGGGCCGGTCATTGTTATTGAATCTTACGCAATTTGATTGGATAAAGTTATAACTTGAATGACCTTAAAACTGGACACTGGACGAATCCATATTATTTTTATGCCCCACCTACGATAGTAGAGGTGCATTATGTTTTTCGGTCTGTGCGTCCATTCGTTCGTTCGTCCGTTCGTCCGTCTATCACGCTTCTGGTTAAAGTTTTTGGTCAAGGTAGTTTTTGATGAAGTTGAAGTCCAATCAACTTGATACTTAGTACACATGTTTCCTATGATATGATCTTCCTAATTTTAATGCCAAATTAGAGTTTTGATCCCAATTTCACGGTCCACTGAACATAGAAAATGATAGTGCGAGTGGGCATCCGTGTATTATGGACGCATTCTTGTTTATAAATGAAACTAAAGATATGAATGTAAGAATTGCCACTTCTTATATTTTCCACATATAGAGTAGATAAATTATTTTTTAATAGCCTATTCCGGAGAAAAAAAGGGAAAGTTTACAAATCAGACGTTTCATTCCATTAAACAAGTCATTTTTGGAAGAGAAATGCTGAAATACATTTTACGCACGGCTACGCCAGGTAAAATTATTGTTTATCTGAACAAACAAAAAAAAACATTTTTCAGTCTCATTATAATGTTATAAATACAATTAATCCCAAACAAAAGAAGTCAGTAAATAAAGTCAAAGTATGTCCGATCATCTGCCTTTTTTTGGACATTATAATTAAATACGATCGTTTTAATGTCACTTTCGTCTACCTCACAAAATCTTGTTAGGCACTATAAAATTAATTAAGATAAGTTCGTATGTAACACGTAATTAAATCTTGTTTTTGTTATCAGATAGCCTTTGTCTCAATGTAAAATTATATTACAATGCATTTTATTTCCTAGACAATAAAGTACCGGGTGAAGGAATTAATACTTTTATACGTTAACAATTGTGGACGTCCGAAGCGCTTTGCTGCATGTACCCTCATCAGGCACGCTCAAACTCAAACATGCGAAGGCCTTAGATGTAAAGAAAAAATTCCTGAATACATTTGTACGTGAGGAGCTTTATGACTAAAAGACACCTACAATTAATTAATAGACAAATTCATCTAAGATCAACTTTGTCTGAAATGCGAGAAGGTATAGGTTTGAACTTGAAGCGTAAACATGGACTCATTTTGAGATTGTTCTAATCAAGTATTTAATAAATTGTGTGTCCTGTAATCAGGCTTTCGATTTCGTTTCCAACTTTATGTTTCTCAACTCCAAATTGACATTTCTCAGTTCCGAGTTTTTCATTTCTCACTTCTAATATAAGAAGATGGGGTATGAGTGCCAATGAGACAACTCTCCATCCAAGTCACAATGTATAAAAAGTAAACAATTATAGGTCAAAGTAGGGCCTTCAACACGGAGCCTTGGCTCACACCGAACAGCAAGCTATAAAGCGTCCCAAAATGACAAGTGTAAAACAATTCAAACAGGAAAACCAACGGTCTAATCTATATAAAAAACGAGAAACGAGAAACACTTATGGCCCACACCAACAAACGACAAACCACTGAACAACAGGCTCCTGACTTAGGTCTAAGTTTCCATTTTTCACTTTAAAGTTAGAACTGTGAAATGTCAATTTGGAAAAATTGTCAAGTTGAAACTGGGAAATGTAAACTTGAAAGTATGAACTGTCAACCTGGAACTGAGAAATCTCAATTATGAAGTGATAAATTTTAGCTTGGAAGTTGGGAATGTCAAGTTTGAAGTGAGAAATGACAAAATTGAAATGAGAAATTTAAAAATATCCCCACCAGTCTTTAAAAGTATGCCGTTGTATTTGTCGTGAATATATTTATATATTAGTTAACGATTAACAACATTTTTTTTTTATTGTGGATTGATTATTTACTGGTTTAGTTAATAATGTATCAAGAGAGGCTTATTGAAAACTGGTGTAGTCCAAATGAGTTCCTTTCTTTAGATAAAGGTGTTATTAATTATAAGTATTATCGTGTTGTAGAAAAGTAAAACTGCAACGTTACAAAATTTGCGAAAATGTAATACGCCAAGAATGAGATATAAACAAACAAATTGTCAGGTAGACACCAGCCATTTACTTACATTGCTCGTAGATTGTCATTTACGAATTCACTTCTTTTTATAAATTATCTTACTTAAAAACTAAATAAAAGGTTGCCGTGATCGTGTAGGAGTCGTTAAGGAAAGATAGAACGATAAATCATTAAGTACGGGATTCAAATCCTACACTCGTTATGAAAAAATAAGTGATACTTTTGGCTCGAGATTTATAATTATATTTTTTTCAAATCACACAGAAAATAATGCATTTTGATTTTCACCATAAACAAATGTTTTTCTTTTTTTTTTTTATTGTGAAAGAAGTAAATGTATTGTTGTCACTGTTATGTTAAATTTGATTTAATATAGAATCATGTGCAAAACAGTGTAGCCGAGACCATTGATTGGCGCGCTAAAATATCCCATTGACTGGGTCAGATTAGGTGAACGTTCGTCTGTAACGCCCACAACTCACGACGTATTTATTATAGACATTTAAACTGTGGGTTCACCAAAGGGTCTCAACGCCTAAATAAAATAATTCGAAAAACTAATCAGGAATAACCTTTGTGTTTTGATTTATATTGAATACTTAAACGTTCTTTACGTGTTTTTGTTATGTTTTGATAATGAATTTTTATGATATCGGACGTTCTTTCAGCAAAAAAGGATTTAACTGGCTTTAAAAGTTACAATGGATGTGTTGATTATTATCTTTTTTTCGGACGTCAAAGCGATTTAACAATTGCGGTTGTCCAATTAAGTCATCTTTTAACTTTTATCTGGTCAAAATTTTATTTTAGAACGAATGCATGATCAACTTTAAAAAGTGTGCAAACACAAAACATATAGACAAAATATACTTCTTTCCTGTCTTTTTCGTACTTGCAAGTTATTAGACAGTAAAAAGGCTATTTGGATCAAGCTTTGTGAAATTTGCATTTACGTTTTTGAATAGGTACAGTCAAGTTTAGCGATTGATAATTCATTGATAACATTCTGGCGTATCACAAACAAACAACTTGTAACGTCTCATTTCATTGGCCGAAAGATTTAAATACAACAACAATTGTAGTGTGCACGTGAATTGACACAGGTGACCGACAATGGAATGTACTACGTTACTACGAACGTAAAAAACAATGATTTTTGGTCGAAATATTTAAATAAGTATTTTGTGAATTTCAAATAGTGGGGTCGAAATATTATACTAATAATTTGTGTTAAGTAATATTCTTTATGCATGCAGCACTTGTACCGCAATATGGAAAATATAAGGATAAAATAAAATACATGTGCCGCTTTTATACGGATGAATGTATGAACCACTTTAATTTCTTTCATATTGACGCTAGGTTATTATCCTGACAATGTCGTAGTTACTTATAATAAGGATCTCATAATACTGATCCATTTCAAATTTATGATGGGTTGCACATTCCTCTTTTATTGTTTTCATGCTATAAAACGAAAATAAAGTAGCTAAGCGTTTGGTCATTCAGAAATGACGTGTCATAAACGAGCAAATTGTCCCCGAAAGATCGTATCATGTGTGCACGTGAATATAGATGTACTATGCAATGTACTATCATGGTCACCACGAAATTCAAATGAATCCAGTGAAGGCATGTTGGTGTAAAAAGGTTTGAAATGTTTCATCGGCGAAGATTTTATGTTTGCATGTGTGGAACTAAAAAATAAATAAATACTTGTGAGAAATGTCGTAGTTTATAAGGAACTATATAAATGTACTGTTTTCGACTTTAATTGGTTGAAAATTTATCCTTTAATTTCATACCGTAAGAATAGAGCTTTGCATAACATTGTTGAACTTTCCGCCAAAGTAACGTGTGGCATGCGTGTGTATTAAAATGAAATACAAAATCATACATGTATGATAAACTTATAAACGAAATATTAAGAAATTAAGGATGACTACTGTAAAAGTATGTACAAAAATGGAGTCACCTTTTATCAATACATTTAGTGAATAACCACACTGTTTAAAACTGATTGTTTTCTATGCAACTTTTTTATATTTACAATATATAATTTTCAACCGAGGATAGCAAAACAGTTAATTATAAATTAAGAAAGTATATCGCTGGATTTTATAAAGTACATTTCCTTCCACTGTGCCATAGTTTGCCATCTCCATTTTTTCTCTAAACAAAGCATGGCTGGTTACATGTTCTGAATTTACTTAGAATTTCGGGATTTTTTTTTCAAAATCAAGTAAACTAAATCAGAAAAAAAATCACACTATCCTAAAACTTATGAAAGAATAGGAATAATGAACATGACAGTTTATAACACAAACCCATTTACTATAAAAATCGAGCAATATCTTTAGTATGTAATTTGGTTATTTTTGTAGTTAAGTACGGTTTCATTTCAAGTACAACGTTATTTCATCAAGTCCATTGAATAAAAGATAAGGCAGGGTGAGCAACTTGACAAAAAAAAGGCAGGATGACGATTTATGTAAAAAAATCAGGATAAACTAATAAATATAGTCAGGACCTAACAGACTGAAAAATAGAAAGACAGGACAGAGATAACAACTAAAAAAAATGCAGGACAAAATGTTTCATCCAAGTCCCCCACCCCCAATCAAAATAAAATGGTAGCTCCCTTAATCCAGAACCAATTGAGAGGAGACAGTTGAATTAAATATTTCGACGTGACTGTTAAGATTAAAGTTTAAAATTTTACATGCACATGTATAAAAGCTAGAATTGCCATGGGATAATAAAGAACACAATCATGTACGTGAATACGACGATGGAAGTTTTTAACGACCTTGACCGGCTACGTGAATACTGATCACTCCATTCAGCTTTATAGTACACGTTTTCTATTTTCGCAGGTGTGAGGTCGAAGGTTTGAATTGACCAATGAAAACGATCGTTCCTTAACGAGTTAATCTAATAAAGTTTGTTTGACTGATTATGTTGCACGACCTTTCGCTAAGCTTGGCCGCAGTTCAGTATACAATGTATAGTTTGATGATCTTTTCTGCTAACTACTATACTTGTGAAAAACCCTTGGCAACAAAAACATATTCAGCTTTTTTTTAATCGACCCAATTTACATAGTAATGGACGACTTCGTACATTTTATGATCGCAAATAAAATATGTATATAATATACTGTGCACTGTAGTTCGTATATATACTGAGACCCTTTGGCAACCCCACAGTTTAAATGTTTATAAAAAATACGTCGTGAGTTGTGGGCGTTACAGACGAACGTTCACCTAATCTGACCCAGTCAATGGGATATTTTAGCGCGCCAATCAATGGTCTCGGCTACACTTTTTGCACATGATTCTAGTTTAATTTTAATGTAGACATGAAGTTCATAACCAATAAAAGTAAAACTGATAGTGAATAATAAAAGGATGGATAGATGGATGACTGTTAAACGTCCAGTGTCAAATTATTAATAAAAGGTGAACATTTGTTATGATGAAGAATAAAATTGACAGTCGTTGTGCCTTTCAAGTGACAAACGTAGTGGGCATATTAATGTTTATTGTACGTGTTTTAAAATGTTATGACTGTGGTGGTATAGTCGCAATCTTTAAAAGGTTCGGTTCAACTCGAAAATCGACCCATGTGCAAACCTGACATCAAGAAAAAGCGGTTTAAACATAAGTGTTTCTGAGAGAGCTTTTGGCTCATTTATCTTCTCTTTTTTCTTCTATATTTTGATATTGCTATATAATTCTACTGCACTCCTTTCGTTAAATCGTTATATTGACCCTATGTTTTGATTAAGAACGGTCATATATCGAACGTTATCTTCCTTAAATTCGCATGGCGGTTGATGCATGTATAGCCAAAGACGCTATCTGTCGACGCATCCGGTCCCACTCCTTTTAGAGTTCATGGAATTCCCTCAGTGTTTGTTTGTTACTTTGAATTGTTTCTTCCTAATCGATTTACGAAAATTGAAAATCGGTTAACCACTTTCGCCTAAATTAACGTTTACAAACAACACCAACAATACAAATAAACCAACAGACAATGAAACAACAAGATAAAAAAGACGTAATATTCATTGCATAAATGAAAGAAGTTGAATAAGATAACCATGCAGTTTATTGGCATGTATTGACAGGCTTTATCAATTAAGCTTCTTAAGGTTAAATGTTATTAAAAAGTATATGTCAGGAGTCGTTTTCGAGTAGTATTATGCACGGACTATGGTGATTATTGGAGAAATTATGCAGAAGTTCGAACCTGAAAATTTGAGGTAAACTGTCCGTTGGTAAAAAATTCAAAGTCAGATTATTAGTTACAGTGGTCAGATAATTCTTGAAAGATAATATAAAGATAGAACTATAGACAAACGTTAAAGTGTTTTTGTTATTTATGAATATTTTGATATGGGATTCCGTACCATCGGACACAAATATTTGCGGATATGGCAAAGTCCATTGTTTTCATCTACAATGATCACTAGCCTGTCAACACAGAGGTGCAAGTTCTAACTCGCTTGGATTGACAGCTTTCCGTCTGAAAGTCGGATGTACTTTCCAGGTACTCCGGCTTCCTCCCTAATAAAAGCTGACCGCCTAGATAAAGCCAAGTATATCCTAAAAGTGACATTTAACAACAACAAGCAATCAATAATAGTACGAAGTAATAAGCATCCTTTAAATCCACAGGCACTTGTCTCAGAAAAAAATTTCCTATATACCTTAATATGACTTGGGACAGGCACATACAGAGTGTTTACAGCTTGGTTTCTACTCGTTTTCTGTGCTCTTGAGTTACTTTATAACCAACACAACCAGCATTTACTATTAATCATTAAACCTACAAGGGGTACATATCCAAAACGCTTACTTTAGCCTGGGCATGCGCTAAGACAGATGGACGTGTAAAAGGTATCTATTGTCGAATGGGAAAAAAAGCCTCCCTTTTGAATAAATAAAAATCCTTGTTTCTGTGCCGTTAAAAAGCTTAGTTTCCAATCGAATCAATATTCGTCAAAAAGAGACAGTGCTTTTTGAAGCTTTACTCTCGGTTCTGCCAAAAAAATGTTATCATCGGCTTAAAAATAAGAAACAACTTCAACTACATACGATGAGTAACTTCAAACGTTTTCGTTTATATCAATTGTTTACCGTTTACAGGGTTTCCAACCAGATTATACACTATGTCGTTTAGGTATAAGACAAGGAAAAAAGTTGACAACTTTTCTCTCTTCCTTACATCTAGATCATAAGAAAAAAGCTTTCATGCCAAATATACGATGTTGGAGATAATACCACTAACGAAACTCCCTTGGCATCAGTTTAGAGACCACAATCTTGTCTGATTTCTTCCTAAATTCGACGTGAGACAAAGGGTGCCGTAACTATACTAGATATTTTGGTCACCTTTATTATTTTTCAAAACTACTCACTCTGGAAGGATTCCAGAAGAAAACGTTTTACCAAATTGAATACGGATAATTGATGGATAACTGATACTCTATATATCGAACAACTTTTTTTCTTTGAAATATGAGCTTTATTTGGCTATTATTTTTAGGTCCTTTTTGATCATATAGCTCATTAACTGTTTATGTTCTTATACAGCCTTGGCATTAAAATATTCGGATTTGAGCGTTCCTGGTGATGGTAAATCCTGTAAAGAGCTTTTGGAAACAGGAAATATGTAAAGTGTTGTTTTCATTTTGTAGAGAGACAATTTATAATCTTGTTAGTTGCACTTGAAATTATTTACCAGATGTTGTGGAATAGGCAATTAGAACATCTGATTCTGATGATAACTTTTGTACAGTTACTCCTTCCCTTTGAGAACCGTCTTGAGCTAAATTTCCAAAATCTATCTTGTTTCCACGGCAAGCCTAAATAATACAAAATTCTAAAATTGTACATCAAAGTTCGAAATGTTTTATACTCATATGACTAACGTATTTCTTTATTCTTAATTTATTTGTAAATTGATAATCATAGTTTCCATTGGTCAATTTAGTTAAATTTACATGCTACATTTCAAGTAATCTATATACATTTTGTATTCATGGAATCCATTTGACGTTTCATTGGCAAAAATTGATATACAAAAAAATACATGATGTGCGTTTCCAATAGCCAGCATATGTTTAATACATCTGACATGTCCATTGGCCTAAAAACAGATTAATTTGATGAATTCGAAATAAAGGAAATTCAAACCAGCTTTAAGTTATATTTTTTTTTTATTTATGTGGCTAAAAATCAAATTATAAAGATTGACCGAAATCCATGAGATCATTTAATATGAGATCTAATTACTAAATTGTTTCTCAGTTTAAAATCCTTTTATGAGTAGTCTTTAAAACTTGTCAAACATTTGTTTTCGTGTAACATAACTATTTCTCTAATTCTTTGTCAATTTAACCCTTTCTGGACCCATTCTTTAAAACATAATCGACGTGTGGTTGCCGATGATCTCAGAAGATGATTTTTTTTTTCGTTAATTGTTTTGTTATTAGTTAGGCCTTTAGTTTTCTCAATTGAATTGTTTCATATTTTTCATGTCGGGGCCATTTATAGCCGACTATACTGTATGGGTTTTTTTCTCATTGTTGAAGACCGTACGGTTGCCTATAATTGCTTACATCCACTTTATTTGAACTTTGGTGGATAGTTGTCTCCTTGGCAGTCATACCTCATCTCCTTATTTTTATGAGTTAAAAGGTCATAACCTTCATCAGCTCTCTGGGTGACGAAGAAATCACGAATGTGGAAAGCACTTTAAGGGGATTTTTGTTCATTTTTGATTTATGTATTTGATAATATTTAGAGAAACAGATTCTTACAAAGTAGCTCGTGGATTATCGGATTTATCCAATCTTGATAGTTAAATTATCGAATTTAATTGAACTACCTCGATTGGATAAATCAGATAATTCACTGGTACCAATGTAAGAATCTATATGAAAAAAAATATGCAAAGGTATATATATACCTGAATGAAGAAAAGTTTTGGCTTTCCAAGCAATGATTTGCATTTCTTTATAGGATCCATGATCGCTGTTAGAGATAATTCTCCGTCAGTTGTATTGACATATCCCTCTCTACCGTGACTTAAAATCACACAGACAAAGCAATCATCGCTATCATGGTTCCTATCGGCAACTTATTTTGAATAGATAGAGATATTTTAGATTTCTATCAAAACCTTATAAGCTAGAAAATAATAATAAGCATTAATATATATATCAACTTTGTAATTTACGGTTTTCTCCATAATTGTTTTTTTTCTTAAAAACCAAAAGTTCACAAAGAAATCCACATTTATGACATATACGACCCAGTCGATTTACAATTGTGTCATGTGGCTTTCATCAATAACTTGCATTGATGACATTATTGCTTCACGCATATATATTGGTTGTTTTTGTAGTCTTTCGGAATACCGGAAATGCCTACTGTCTTTTCGGAATACATCTGTTCTTTTCTTTGACAGCCTGCGTAATAGGTAATTATTTGATCTGATGAATATGTATTAGCGTTTTACAGTTGCTATAAAGATAAGTGTTAATCGAGGCTGATTGATATACTACATCAGTAGTTAATTAAATTAGAGTCGCATATGTTAAGATTTCTAAATTACAAGCTGGGTTCACATTGGAGATTAAGTGACCGTCAATGGATAGGGCGTTTTAAAACTGAGCAATTTTAGCGTTATTATAAAAGAGCAAAGTCCGTTTAAGCAGCAATTAAAATTCTACGTCCAGGAAAGATGCGAACAGACAAGGAGTTTCTAAATTGATCCTATTTTAATTAAAATAGCAAAAATGGAATTATTATTAGAAGTCCGTTACTTTAATTGGTAAATTTCGGAACAAACTTTCCTTTGACGTTATCAAAATTAAATAGGAAATAAATCAAAGAAAAACAACTAAACCTTAGAATCGTCGAGACGTGTAAAAAGCAGATATAAGATGCTACAACGAAACATCTTATTTATCAAGTTATAAAAATATGTTTAGCGGTATGATGACGATTCTGAAAGACTAATTAAATGTCTGGGCGTGATGTCTGTGGTGTCGGATATTATGCATATGCAATAGCAGTGATGATATATATTAATACAGGGTCAGAGTAAAATAACGAATGTCTTTTATAGAGACTGAGTGTTGATTGAACTTTTTTCAAACTGGCTACAAAAACAAATAATCATGATTCATTTCTTTAAACTTCTTAAAAAAAGACTGTTTTCACATTTACATGTCGACTTTAGCCAGGAAGCTTCCTCTAATTTCCAAAACAGTACCCCAGAATGGAACGTACAGTGGTTGTCTCCTATTTGGCATGTTGTAATGCTATCTATTGGAAGAGAGAGGGATGGGAGAGAGAAAAATGATTTCTTTAACAAGAAAATTATGCCCAACATTGAACAGCAGTTTCATTAAAAATCCATGTCAGTTTTTTTACATCTTATATAAATAAAAATGAGGTAAAATCATGCATCTTTATATAACAATTATCTGATCTTATATACCAAATAGGCATTTAGGTTCACGATTGCATTTCTTTTTTTAAAGAAAGCAACTTGTTTCAATCATTGCACAGCTAATGTTTAACTACAAAAGTTTAGATTTGTTTAGATAAGATTTTTCAAACATCGTTCTTAAAGGGAAATACTTCATAAAAGGTTTTAATCAATCAACATTATTTAGATCTTATAGTGCATATCCTTTTTTGTTACATTTTTTTTTTGTCAGCATACGATAGTTTATAAGACAATAGGCAGAAACTAAAAAAATTGCAAAAACAGTCGACATTTAAGGGGAATAAATCCAATAAGAAGACAACAGCAAGAAGATACCATCATCTTAGTTACCTGAGTTTTAAAAATGGTTGTTGGCAATACCTTTTCAATAAATAAATAATTAAATTAATTTTACCGATCTGTTATAAATTGGTTTTAAGATATGATTGTTATGTTGGTTTTAAACGCGGGAAATTTATAAACTTTATACTAAATACTCAAAATATCATTGAAGTCTAATTCAGTTAAAACTGATTCAATAGCTTCCGATGGTAGAATTTTTATAAGGGTAATGACAACGCAACGGACGACGTCACGGCGGATGCACATTGATTGCCATTTCCCACCTGGTTCTTAGGCTTTGAAGGTTGATTGAATTCTGTCTATTTAATGTCAGTTGCAAATATTTCGTGCATTATTTAGAAGAATTGGGCATTGATATGTTTTGATTTTTACTGGACGTGTCCGCAGCGTATTCATTCACCTCGAATAAATTCAATTCCTAACCATGTGTCTCACTAGCGACCGATCGACGGCTAGGTGATACACTCGGATTCAACGCTTTTAACGAAAAGGATGGTTTAGAATTGATTGAAAAATAGGGATTTTCAAACAAAATAGCAAATGTCTCATCAACTTCTAATGAATATTAATTGTAGAGCGACGTAAAGATTGGTGACAGTAGTTATTAATATAGTATTTGGTTTATCTATGTGTTCATCGTATTTTGATTTGCGACATGACATGATTAACTTAAGAAGCAATTTTATTTTCCCATTTTAACGTAAGTGTAGACATATTTATGAAAACAATACAAATCAACGTACAGGTTTTTATTTCTTTTTTAAATTCCTTCTTGGTCACATCTACCTTCTCTATAACTTCAAACCCAAGTGAAGAAAAGGTCTTTTTCAACTTTTGACCATCTTGTTCGGTGCCGGATCTGATATCATCATTTCGGACATGTTTGATGTTAAAAATAACACAGTCACCACGTCTTGGGTGGTTCATGCTGTAATATTCCTCATTCATACTGTAAAAATCCGGTATTTGATTGCTTCAAAAAAACAAATTTTTAAATTAAGCGATAAAGCTGACAAACACATCAATTTGCAGCTGACTACATAAATACTACATACAGATTAAATTAATGTTTTGACATTGTCTACACGCACATCTTAGTTACCAATTTTCCAAATATGATACTAATTTTCTTGCATTGGATGTAGTTCGAAATTAATATGAATTACCATGCCCCAACTAAAAATTACATAAACAAAAATATACCTTGGGACCAAAATATACTACTTTTACACCCAATTTACAATAACCTTGACAAATCTCACTACTAGCCTTGTTAATAGTCTGCTCGACTGTCTTCTCTACTACTTGATTGTCTATTATTGTCCTTTGTATTCCAATGAATTCTTTAGAAAACTATTTAGTAACGCTTCGAATACCAGATAATTAGTTTGTTTGGTGTATGAAGCTCATCAATTACTTGATTAATCTGTGTTGCCTAATCTCTTGTTTGCTAATGGATCATATGTAACTCTGAAGGCATGTTTGTTTCGCGTTGATTTTTTCGTTTAAATTGTTTCACATTTTGTCATGTCGGGGCCTTTTATAACAGACTACAGGGTATCGGGTTTGCTAATAATGTTGAAGGCCGTATGATTACCTATAGTTGCTGTATTTTTTACTCTGTATGTTAGGGGACGACCACTTGATATTATGAGGAGGGGTGCAGAATTGTGAAAATAAATAGTCTGGCCTGGTTAGGATTTAAAAATAAATAACCTCGCCCAAACAAAATGAAAATGTATATTTTACCCAACACAATGCAGTAAATTAAGGTGTACAAAAGTAAAAAGTAATGTTTGCACGTCAAAACCGTACAAAGTTGAAAATTAATTTCCCTCCGAAAAAATTCCACCTTCCCCTAAAAATGGCAACTGGTTGTCCCCTTACTTAGTTTTCTCATTGGCAATCATACCACTTCTCCTTATTTTATATATGTCTTTCAAAGAAACAATGCAACAAATTGAAATATATAAGTATACCATCATCGAAAGGACCAAGGTTATTCTGATCCACGAAAGATACTACATTAAGTGCACTATGTAAAAAAGGACGACAATGACGAATGACGGACGTGTACTGGTAGATAATAAACTATATAATGGTAATTTCACAGTATTTTCTATATGACATTGGCATAAAGATACTAGAATACACACGTTCATAATGGACGAACATATTCTTTTCATCGATATTGAGTTTTCATCTAGAAATAGACTTTACGGACATTCAACAGTAGGGGAAAAGGCTATAGAGGTACACAAATATGCTTCTAATGCCACCCACACGGAAAACCTCCTTCATGCATGGGCCATTTGGAATTGCATATTTCAATATTTTAGGTGGACCTTCAAATGTATTTCATCTCGTTGACTTTTTTTTTCTAATGCTTTACATGATTTAGATTGATTTGGAAAATATTGCTTACGTCCCGGGGACACTGTTGTCATGAACAATTGTGGCTTTCACCACAGTAGATTCGCCGGAAATATCCTTATATTTATTTTGGGACACCGTCATAAAGATTTATCATATCAACCTCTACATATCACACAAACTTGAATACATGTGAAGTATGTTTTAAAGTAATGAGACTATTTGCATAGTCATATGAATTACGCACGTGAATTGACTGTGACGGTCTAGAAGAAGTTACAGCATCGAAGTCTAATTCTATATTTCGTGGATGTGGTTATTTGTGAAAGGACTTGCTGTACTTAGTATATTATACATATCCTTATAATCAATTCAATTAAATTTGTACATGTGATTCTTTTGTGAAATGTAAAATATTTTAGGGGGAGAGCGATGGTACAGAGATCTATTGAAAGTATAATAGGGAAAAGGAACTTCACATGATTGCTTATTTATAAATCTGACATAAGGTGAATACTACTTTGCCCCAACCAGTTAGATAAAATAAAATTTAGTCAGAGGCTATTTATAATATAACAATGACTTATCAACTCATTGACGAGTTCATATGGCCAAGCCAACTAATTATCTGGTATTCGAAGCGTTACGAAATAGTTTTCTAAAGAATTCATTGGGATACAAAGGACAATAATAGACAATCAAGTAGTAGAGAAAACAGTCGAGCAGACTATCAGTATGACTAACCTAGACATGTAAGAGAATGATAATCCCTTTCTTCATGAATAAGTACGAGCGTTAGCGAGTACTTATCATGAAGTAAGGGATTATCATTCTCTTACAAACTTAGAATATTGTAAAGTGCTCAAGGCTCAAATGATCTATTCAAGAATTAGTTTCATTGTCAGTGCAATGTTTATAATTGATGCATGACTTCCTTTTTCGGCTTGTCATTTATGGATAAGTTTTAGTGATGTGAGGACTTTCTTATCATTTGGGAAATATTTTTAAAAACAAATGCGTTATAGATATTAGGTGACACAACAGTAGAAAGAAAAGGTAGGAATTGTATGTTTCCTGATTGTGAGTATGAATGTAAATCATGTAATATTTTAGTGAGGAATTATCCTGTTTTATTTACAGTTTAAATCAATTAATACATTAGAGTTACAACTAAATTTTATTTCACAGCCAATAATTTGGTCCGGCTTTTTACATCAAATACTGTTTCATTATGTCAGGAAAATGCTAAAAAATAATGCCCTTAAAAGTTTTTAATATGTTTAAAATTAATTCCTGTTTTTTTTTTATCGGAATAATTGTATTGGAAATAACTATTCTCCCCAACCGCTGATCAAGTAATCAAAGTTTTGGAAAGCTAAAAGATTTAGGTTATTTTTTATCTGAAAGATTTTTTTTCTTTTTTTTTTTGCATTGTTTGTTATTGTTTAATTTTATAGTAATTTGAAGTTATTCATATTTTCATAATAAAATTCACGGTACCAATTTTTTGCTGCACCAGTAATTTAACTTCAACTTATTTTGAGATTTTTGTTTGTTTCACAATTCAACTTTTAGTCAGTTTCAATCACTGTGTGATAAATCCTTTCAATCTGATAAATGTGCTTCTGGGCAGTTGTAACTCATTTATAGAAACTCTTTGTTTTGAACTGTAAATAGACCCAAATAATAGGATAATCCCTTACTAAGAACATGATTTACATTCATTCTTCACAATTAAGAGGCATCCAATTCTACAATTTCATTGGTCGAGAGTACTTTGCTGTATTCTAAACAAGGCTAATAGTGAGATTTGTCAAGGTTATTGTAAATTGGGTGTAAAAGCCAACTATCGGTACTGTCATTATCTATCATTTAACATGATCACTCTTATTTTTGTTACATGTGTATATACATTTTTACTCGGATTACTGTGAGGGAATCCGAAGTAATGTTATGGGGAAGTATCTGTGTGTGCTTTTAAACCAGCATTACTGCGTATACATGTAAATACACTGACGTTATCGAGTGCAAAATGGAATTTTTTATCGCTTCATATATATTAGTATTATTTTATTTTTTATCAGATTATGAAATTTCATGAAAATATTTTTTTAAGAACATTTATTTGTAATCAACATGTTTTGTCTTGAGAAATATATATCAGTAAAAATCATGAATAGATCTATAGATAAAATAGATAAATAAAAAAAAACAGAAAAAGCAGAAAGAAAATAAATAAATAAATAAATAAATAAATTTAAACAAATAGAAAAAAACAGAAAATAAATAAATAAATACCGTAATAAAATAAATAAAAACAATTAACAAACAGTATCCAGATATATAGAATGTTTGTTTAAAATAAAATTGACATATAGATAAAATAGATAAATAAATTAAAAAAAATAGAAAAAAAAAACAGAAAGAAAATAAATGAATGAATGAATGAATGAATGAATAAGTAAATAAATAAATAAATAAATAAATAAATAAATAAATAAATAAATAAATAAATAAATAAATAAATAAATAAATAAATAAATAAATAAATAATATCTATTAAATAGATAAATACTGTAATAAAATAAATAAAAACAATTAATATAATTAATGAAATAAATCAAATAACTTGAATAAAATAAGTAAATTGAATAACTTGCATGCATTAAATAAATTAAACAAATAACTATATAAACAGATACAGCTGTCCAGAACTATTTTTATGATAGAAATGTCAGGATCTAGGTTACAAGTGTCAAAACTGATTTAAAGGTGTAGTGACAACTTCTACAGACTGTTCTAGAACAGTTCTATTGACAGTTCCTGACAGATTTAAGAAAGATTAGAACTGATCAAAACTGTATCTATACCATATGTCGTAAATGAAAGACAAATGTATCGTTTAAACTATGCAAGTACTGAAAGAATGATTTATTTCTAATCATATATATATATGTACATACCAAGACTGTGATCTTCCTTTAAAATATAGAAGATATTCAGTTGTATGGTAAATTAATGAAGTTTGAGCTATTCAATTTTATATGTTGGACAGGAAATTAAAAAGAAAAATAAGTAAAAAAATAAATATATATGTCGAAAAATTAGTTTCAATTTTTTTAAGATGTCGAAATGAAATACATCTGACTTGCTAGTCTCGTGACAAGACGGTCCACCTAAGTGCAGGAGTACCTGTTTTCGATCCCAGATTGGTCAACCAAATGTTACAAACAATCAGGTTTAACCCGCCATTTTTTTGAAAATGCCTGCGCCAAGTCAGGAATATGACAGTTGTTTTCCATTCGTGCCGTTGATTGATATAGTCCAACGTTTGATTTGGCAGGTATTTTGGACTTCCTGCTTTTTAATTTACTTAGAGCTGGGTGTTTTTGTTAATATTTTGTGCTTGTTCTATAGAAGCTTAAGATACAATGTACACACAATTGAAAACAATCTTTTTAAAGTATATAAAGTCCTTTAAGATTAACACCAATTCTTGACATGTATTCAACTGTAATGACTTACGCATGGAAGGTCGTGCATCAGTTTCAAAATCCTTATTTTGTTTATTTGGTGGTCTTTCTGTGTTAACGCTGTAAAACAATTATATAAGTTTTTTTTATCTATACTAATGAAATGACCGTTTTTTATTGAAGCAACCATCTGTTAAATGTAGAAATTATTTTTTTTTTTTTTGTCTTGCTTCTTTCAATTTTTAAGGAATTCGATGATTATGAACATAACTGTGACACTAATCTTATTAATAAATCTTAAAAATACAAACCGCATCAAGCTCATTAGAGAACATTAAAGTCTCCCTGATTGAACGAATTTGTAACAGTTTAGCAAGTACATGGCACAAGTACATTCAACAATTATCACTCAGTCTTCATCATTAACACATTCATATATATTACCATTTGACAGAATTGAGAATTTATACCCTTCTCAAATTCCTGTTTTACCGTATAAAGGTAACAAGATAGCATACTTGTGTATTAATTAACTCACCAAACACTTGCCCGTGACGACGGGTTCCTTCCAATTTCGGAAACTTAAACGAAGAAAAAAAAAGCGTATCAAATTATATTGCATTATGATTTTGATGTGCAAAAGTAATATCTTAAAAGATAGTAGTTGAAGTTTCGGATGTATTGTATGTATTCATGTATAGATTTAAATTGTATTTTCGTATTTATGCAACTTGTCTTAATTTACATATTTACAAGTTTCATCTTTCCAAAATAGTATGGAGTGCTTCGCAATATTATAAATTAACGTCAGCTTTTGTTTTGTTGTGATTTTTAGAGAAAACGATAGTTTTTTTGAAGTATTTATTATTTTTTTATGTTCGGATAATTTTATTTGGGTTTCAGTTTCATTATTATTTATTTAATAATATGATACGAAATGCGACATAACAGAAGTAATTAAGCTCCGTTCTTAGGGTCACGAACAAGGGACTGTAAAAAGAATGTGTTACATAAGATAGCTATTATTTTCGTATATTATATGTAATGCCTGGTGATATGATTTGAACACCATACACATCATACACGAACTATTGTGAATAAAACTAATCATAATGTATAAATTAAAACAAAGGAAATCCGTAATAATAAATGTATCAATTTTGACCATAAGCGCTTATCAAACAATATGTCAGCCTATTGCATCATATTCATCAATCATCGGGTTTGGAATACCCATACTCTCAGACCCGTAAATAATTTCTCCTCCCCTTCCTGACTTGTTCCGAATTTTATAACTCATGCCACCCAATTAAACATTAGCCTCACGAATAAAGTACCAATCAAAACCAACTGTTGATTATTAATTAATCATTTTAAGATGGCGTGTATATCGACTGAAACTTCGCCGCTGGACGTTAAGCAACCAACAATTGATCAATCGACTGAAACTTATAGCTTCGTACCGTGTGGCGAAGCAGAAAAATGTTTTTTTGATAAAAAAAAAATATAAGAAGATATCAAAACTATAAACATAAGAATAGTTTGTATGATTGCCAAAAAGACAAATATCCATCAGAGACCAACAGACGTAAATGTAAAGAACTAAAGGTCACCGTATGGCCTTCAACAATGATCAAAACCCATACCGAATTGTAAGCTATAAAAGGCCCCGAAGTGACAAAATTTATACAAATTCAAATGACAAAAACATGACGGTAAGCAACGACAGAATCTACATTACAAGCTCCATAGTTTTGACAGGGGCATATAGAATGTGGTTGGGTTAAACATTTTTGCGGGTGCTCCATCCCCTGTCACCTGTGACAGTGATGTAACACCACAACATAACAACAAACTGTAGTTGGAAAAGACTTTAGACATTAGATCGACCAAAAGAATAAAAGAAAAAAGACACAAAGAACCGATCTCATTGTGCTGACAGTTACTGAAAGCGGGTTCAAAGCTTATTACAGTTAATAAATAAAATCAGGCATGTTTCACAGACTTTAAAAATAGCAATCCGTACATATCCAATGGCTTAAGTGTAAAGACGTTATGAACAGTTTGGGATAATCATAAACTTGTGCAATGTCAAAATATAAGTATTGACGTGATGTAAGACCGTAAGTGTTCATAAATGTATAGGGACACATATTTAGATATGGTTTTATTTAATACATGCATATTCAAATGTAACTCGGATATTTTCTGGTAAGTTGTAAACGTTGATAAAATAAGCGCCCGCCGAGATTTGGAACGGCTGAGATAATCAGCTGAACGTGCGTCCGTCTCAATTTGTTTTCGCTCGCTAACTTTAAAACCCCATGGAGGTTAGTGATTGAACTTGGCGTGATAATTCACCACTACCACGAGGTGTGTTTCGTATAAGGACGACAACTGGACACTGAAAGACATTATCAGAGACTAAGATCATATAAGCCATCCCTGTGCATATGTACAAAAATAGTCCTACTGTTTACTTTAATAACACTTGGGGTTCAGGGATGAAACTTGGCATGGTAACTCACCCTTACTAGGTTAATCGCATGCACAGAAAAAAACATGCATTGAATGTCTTGGCTGAACACTTGGTTCAACTTAACCAACCCTGTACAAAAATCGTTTTCGTTCTCTTACTTTAAAACCCCTTTGAGTTCGAACATGAAACAAAGCATGATTAATCGCCGCCACCAGCAAGTGTGTTGTGTACACGAAAGAACGATGTACTTAATTGATCATTGTCAAATAGCTTAGTTGAACTCCGATGCCTTAATACAAATTATGTATGAAACATACTTGCATCATAATGTACTTATAAACATAATGCAGGACCGTCTGTGATGGTTCCTTACACAATCCTCTTGTTCACTTTATTTTTGTATGATTCTTTTGTGACGTAAGAGAAAGAAAACAGTATATTCATTGTTCTGCTGATGAGTCTTCCATGCACAAGAATGTAATTTAAATGCTTCACATTATTTGTTGACAGACTTTGCATGTCATGAAGTTTAATGTGTGTTACTCGTCTCTTTTTTTATTTCCTATCACTGGGTCAAAATACCAGTATTGATTGACTGTTAGTCTTTTGGGGGGAATCAATTCAGTAGTCAGTGCGTCGGTATTAACATGGTTTGTGACATATCTTATTCTTAAAATTCTCCGTTGATAAATTCAATAAATATTAACATGATTAAGAAACTTAGCTTCAAACTCCCAGACAAATATATACACGGAACGTGTTCAGGTTCTTATAAATCTTTAGCTTTAAAAATTTCGGGTTTGAAAGTTCTGGATGAATATTAATCCCGGAAAGCGCTTTGGACGCATTAAATTTATAAAGTATTACTTTCATTTTTCGTTATTTTCATTATCGTGAATTATAATACATAAATATAATTACCATAATCTGATGTTGTCGGCGTTGTTGATAAATTACTGAAAAAAGTACATGATTATCTATCATAAATTGTGCATATGTACAGTATCATCATATGCATCAGGCTAAGTCAGCGCTATATTAATAAATTCTCGTTTCACATTAAATATGTTTAAAAATTACATTAAAATGTGTTGAGGTGTACGGCCATTGTCCTAGAAACTGAAGTTAAACAGCTTGATGTTATGCCTAATTTCAACTAATAAACGATTATACAATCTAAATTTCAATAAAACATAATTGCGCAATCACTTTAAATTCAGGATCGGATAAAAGTCATATATGACATATTTTTCAATAATTTTATCTCGTTTAATATTTTACTATAAAAATAAGGAGATGTGGTATGATTTCCAATGAGACAACTATCACCAAAGTTCAAAAAAGTAGATGCAAGCAATAATAGGCAACCGTACGGCCAATCAGAATGAGAAAACCCCATACTGTATAGTCGGCTATAAAAGGCCCCGACATGAACAATATGAATCTATTCAATTGAGAAAACTAACGGCCTAATTTATAACAAAACAGTTAACGAAAAACAAATATGAACCAACGACAACCACTGAACTGTACAGACTCCTGACTTGAGACAGGCACATAAAGAATGTGACGGCCGAATGTGGCGGGGTTAAACATGTTTGTGAGCGCTCAACCCTTCCCTTACCTGGGACAGTGGTCTTACAGTACAACATAAGAACAAACTATAAAAATCAGTTAAAGGGGTTAACTCATCAGATCGATACAAACTAGAAAAACATCTAACGAAAACAAAGACCAGACGTGGCAGGTTTTATACATACCTCACAGTGCTCGCAGTTACTGACAGCTAGTTGAAAGCCAATACTAATAAAAAAATATGTATCTAAGACTAAAATACTAATATGGTCGTGTATGGATCAGTTAAAAATGTTTGATCTTGAATTGTTACTCTAAAAATAATAACATTAACGGTTCCAATTTTCATGCACCAGATGCGAATTTCGACAATACTCTTAATATACATTGAATCAAGCATATATTCTATCTGTACCTTTTTGCCATCTTTACTTTTGGTCATGATGCTGTCTTACTTTCTTCAAATGGTGGTTATTGTTTTCCAATGTAAACGTAATGTGTCATATCAAGTAATCAATAAATTTCCTTACCCGACAGATGTATATCTTCCTAAAGTCTGCTGATTCACAGAATATCTTTGGGTTCCGAAAACGTGGCTATGATACACATTCGGATATTGAGGGTAAAATCCATGGTCGTCATTTTCTGCTAATGTAAACATCGATAAGACTTTGAAATGAAGTACACATTTAAATTAACTTTATATAGTATTGACAGATTATCAAATCCTTTGATATATTAAGAAATGCAGATCGGATAAAATTAGACACATTTTATGACAAAAAGTAAGAAGATGACAAGATGGGCAAACACAATTTTAACTCGAAGAAAGTCGGTCATTAAACTTGCCAAAATATCATTTATCACATTCGTCCTGTGCTTTTGTGTCTCAATTTGAAAAAAAATAGAAATGTTTTAGACCAATGTCACATAAACTGCTGCTGGACCACACTTTGTTAAAATGATACAGTGACATTACTGAAGCGAGTGGTACTTTTAAAATACATCTTGTATCTTCTTTTTTTTTTTTTCCTTTAATAGGTAAGATTTTCAACGTACATTTTGGCATGTTTTTTAACATTCATTTTATTGAAAATATTGGTACTGAGTGTCTTTCACTTCACTCAAACAATATTAGACACACAGTTCAGGTTTGGTAGAAATAAAACGGAGGAAAAGTTGTGGTTAGGAATATCTGATATTATTACGACGATAGCTTTTACATTTTCAACGTTTATTTTCCGATTGCAGTTGTCATAGTAACAGTTTCCATTACGTTCAAGTAAAATTGTTTGTTAGTTCCAGAAATAATTCTATGCAAATGAATACACATATCAATGAAAAAAATAAAACTGAATTATAGGATTACAGAACTTAACGTAATTGTCTGTTACTTAATATGTAGGTGTGATACATGAAATCCGGTGCAGTGAAATCTGTACCTTATATGTTGCTTCGACGATAAAACCCATTCCGCCTTATTTATTACTGAAGTAAAAATAGAGATGACTAGTAGTCAAAATGGGTCATTTCATGACGTATGCAGCTAAAAATTAACTGTAAATAATTTCGAAATGCTGAAACATCTGTAGAGAAAAAATTACAATTGTATACCGTCACGTATTGATTGACCGATGTGATGTTTCTGTATCATCACGAGGGACATATTTTTATGTTCAAGACAATATACAGTTAGATCAGTTCTAATCTTTCTGACAACCTCTCAGGAACTGTCAGGAGAATTGCTGTAAAACAGTCTGTAGAATAGTTTTCCCGCCACCTTTGAAACAGTTTCCAAATGAAGATTCTTCCCTAGAATATAGAATCTGACAGTTCTAATTTAGAACAGATTCTGACACTTTTAACGTAGACGTATATTTCCTCGGTGTTTAAGCATTATATTTACAAATGAAAACATATTTGATCAAAAGCAATATTATATAAATGGAGAAATAACAGAACGAAAATTCATGTCAAAACTGTAATTATTTTTATTTTAACTATTTATTCCCTTATATCTAAAACACACACGTCCCAATCACGACCAGAGAGCTGCTCTAATCTATGTCATTCATAACTGTTCTACTCTAGAACAGATTCGGACATATCTACTCTAGAACATATAAGGACATTCGAACTGATTATATATAAAGGTAAGAAGATGTGGTACAATGTATGATTGCCCATGAAACAAATCTCCATCAGAGACCAAATGGTGTAGAAGTAAGCAACTATCGGTCGCCATACAGTCTTCAACAATGAGCAAAACACATATACCGCACAGCAGGCCCCGACATGTTACATGTAAAACCATTCAAACTAGAAATCTTACGGCCTGTTTTACGTACAAAACAACCTGACATCTCTATTCTAAAGACATGTTAGAACTGATCCCAACAATACAAGAATACTAATTTCGACTGTATACTTAAAGGACTTTGTTTTATTCCTTATCCTGTTATATTGAATAATTTGAATGTCGATTCGCTGCTGGTAATGCGAGCGTAGTAGGAGAAATTAACCTGTCGATGTACCCGATCTCGCTCCTGTTGGAGTTTATGCGATGACCTCTATTTTTTCACTCGGTTTAAATACACTAAACCGAGTTAAGATAATACGAGTGTCACGTGTGGAACATGATCGTCTCACCTTTCAGGAGCACCTGTGATCACCATCGGTGTTTGCTGAGATTTGTTTTGATCAGTCTAAAGTGTTCTATGTAGTTTTTTGTAGACTGTTTTGTCGTTTTTCATTGATCCCATTGAGCTGTCGGTTCTCTTCAACGGATGAATTTTGATTGACCCTACGGTATCTTCAGCCTCCTGTTAAACATTTATAAACTGTTTTTGCCTATCCTATATTTACTTACCCTGACTGGAACTATCAGCTGCCTCATCCTTCTGTTTCGTACTTGATTTAGATAAGTGCTTAAGACAAAACAAATAACAATTGGAAAAGATATAACAAAAATTATGCACAGTCGATCACAGTTGAAAGTGCAAAAATGCAGGTACTTCCATGACGATATAATATGCTAAATATTTATATCATAAAAGCAAAGTACGTAAAGTACTTTTAGAGAACGATATCTTAGGCATTTATATGTAAATGAAACAACAATAAAATTAAAAACCAATTGTTCAGAGAACAATTGAAGGTCTTTCCACATTAAACTAAATACTTGATAAGATGATACTTCCGGTTTACTGAAAGTTACTTTTGACATTAACTCATAGGTTTCTTCATACTTTTATGGTTTCTATAAACTTGTGTCTGAAATAAAGGAGATTATTTGCTACATCCGGTTTAGAAAAGGTCACTTCCGGTCTCATATGAAAGTTTTATTCAAACTTAATAAAAACTATATGGTTTCTATATACTTTTGCATGTCTGAAATGAGGGAAATAATTTCCGATATCCTGTTAAGAAAATATCACTTCCGATGATACGGGTTATGTTCCTCTCATATATTTTATGATAGTATGATACTAAACCCCTAAAGGGAGGGATTGTGATGAAGACATAATCTTTCAATCAGTTTAATTGAAGTCTGGAGCTGGCATGTCAGTAACTGCTAGTAGTCCGTTGTTAATTTATGTATCATTGTCATTTTGCTTAGTTTCTTTTGTTACCTATTCTGACATCGGACTCGGACTTCTTTCAAACTGAGTTTTACTGTGCGTATTGCTATGTGTTTCTTTTTTCAACATTGACTAGAGGTATAGGGGGAGGGTTGAGATCCCACAAAACATGTTTAACTCCGCCGTATTTTTGCGCCTGTCCCAAGTCAGGAGCCTCTGGCCTTTGTTAGTCTTGTATGTTTTTTTAATTTTAGTTAATTTATATGTTTTGGAGTTTATTGTGACGTCCATTTTCACTGAACTAGCACACAATTTTATTTAGTGGCCAGCTGAGGACCACCTCCGGATGCAGGATTTTCTCGCTGCATTGAAGACCCATTGGTGGCCTTCGGCTGTTGTCTGCTCTTTGGTCGGGTTGTTGTCTCTTTGACATATTCCCCATTTCCATTCTCAATTTTATGATTTAGAAAAAAAACTTATTGTTACTTAAAAAGGATAAGTTTGAACCGATCTTCAATATATTACTTGGCCTTTATTTTTTTGTTGCTAATAACAAGATAGTATTATTTGACAAATAATTGGTTGAACTCTTCAAAAGTTATTACAGTCGGTTCGCTAACCTTTAAACAATTAATAAACAAACGATTTGTCTGTCTGCCAGTAAAACCGATGAAATTCTTTTACATAGTTGAGCTAGTGAAATTGATCATATATTGCGATGATTTCCGACATAAAGAAAGGTAACACCAATAAAAACTGTACATGTTAATAAATTTTAATAGGTCATTTTAATAAACTTTCTGTCGACAAAACTTTAAATTTTTCGAAAAACTAAGGATTTTCTTATCCCAGAAATAGATTACCTTAGCCGTATTAGGCACAACTTTTTGGAATTTTGGGTCCTCAATGCTCTTCAACTTTGTACTTGTTTGGCTTTATAACTATTTTGATATGAGCGTCACTGATGAGTCTTATGTAGACGAAACGCGCGTCTGGCGTATTAAATTATAATCCTGGTACCTTTGATAACTATTAACAGTACGTTATCAACTGTCTCAATAAAATTAATTACCAAATGGTGTAAAAGTAAAAAAAATGACATAAGAAAATACCACTTTTCCAACTATGGATTTGGTTAAAAAAAAGAAACAAAATGAACCAAACGAGGTATGCTGCTTATATGACATGTACACAATAAATTTATATTACATCTGGCTTTGGAGATTTAAATCAAAAGAACGAAGCGATGAAGTTTTTCTCACTGTGTAAGTGGTAATCCATGTGTACAACAAAGTATCGCTTCCATACTCGATACAAAAATTATTCTTTCTTTTAAGATAAAAGTAAATAACTAAAACAATGTTATCCAACTCGTCTTTTGGGATCCTCTTTATACCAAATAGATATCCTGTTGAAGGTGGAATGGTAACTACACACCTATATATGTAGGATACTGACCAATGAACAAACCCCATATACAGTTTTTTTTCCTTTACAATTTAAAAAATCACTGTCAGATACAAGTTCAGAGATTAAAAAAAAAGATAATGAAAATGATGGTATTGACATTTCTAAAAAAGTTATGGAATAATGAAGAGAAGGATAACATTAATAATCACTTTTATAATAATAATAAAAAACGAAGAAGAAGAAGAAAATTAAAAAAAACAGAAAACGAAACAAAACTAAAAAGAAGAATAAGAAATAGAACGAGGTAAAGAATTAAATAGGAAAGAAGACTAAACTTATTTATCGATCAATGATTGATTAACAAAAAGGCCATTTAGAAACAAAAACAAATATTAGAAACGAGACGTAAAACGTCATATTCATTATGATATGGAAATCATTAACTTTCAATCTTCATATATTAATAACAAAATGTGGTATGGGTGCCAATGAGACAACTCTCCGTCCAAGTCACAATGTATAAAAAGTAAACAATTATAGGTTAAGTACGGCCTTCAACACGGAGCCGTGGCTCACACCGAACAGCAAGATACAAAGGGCCCCAAAATGACTAGTGAAAAACAATTCAAACACGAAAACCAACGGTCTAATCTATATAAAAAACGAGAAACGAGAAACACTTATTAACCACACCAACAAACGACAACCACTTAACAACATGCTCCTAACTTAGGACAGGTAAATAAACGTTTTAACAGGCGCCCACCTTCACCTGTTCCTTTTGGAGCACTTTGACTATCAAATTATGCCTTTAGTTTAAGTTTAGAATATTAGGTATGGAACAGTATATTGTTGGTTTATGTCATGTACAAAGAATAATTTCCTACAGTTATGAAGATTCAAAACAAAAGTGGGACTGTGCTCATTTTGAACTGTACAAGTGTACCTCTTGTTAGAATGAGTTGCACAACGGGCTAAGGGTATCTTGTATCATACTCAATATAAAACCTTTCGAGATTTAATAGGTATCAAAAATATATTTGTCCTGCTTGTCAAATAGAGAGATAAACTCAAAATGTGAAAGTTTCCTTATCTATACTCTTAATGTGTTTCGGTTAAATCATCTCTTGCTTAAACGCATTCAAATACTAAGGTTTTTCTATCCGCAGGCATAGATCGCCAATTCAGTTTTTTCAAAGCTCATTTAATTGTTTTGTTTTCAGTTCTCTTTAAATTCTTTATTAAGTTAACCTTTCACCTAATCGAGCGCCTCGCACGTCAGGCGTACAACGATATAAGCCATGTATCTTTGACGAGTTTTCTTTACTTCTTCAACGTTTGAACAAATGTATGATGTTTTGAATTAGCATACACTTTGGCCTCTGTATTACCGAAGAAACATTAAATTGTCGAAATGTGTATCTCGTAAAGGTATATCGGTACCGTAAATAAGCTTTCCTTTCGAAAATAGTACTTTATAAATCTAATTTGGTCGATTGGCATTTTTGTATTTACATTCATCAAAAACGCTCAAACCAAAGATATGGCAAGGCAGATATGTTTTTGATCTGATTGCTGGGACTATATTGACCTTTAGCCTGTGTGTTTTATATATGATATTACTGTAACATTATTAAGAAAATGTTTCTGTCGACTGTATACAGTCATACAACTTTTGGAAATACCTATACAAAAATTTATTACCTCCAAGATTGCTAATTACAATATTCTAAACTGGGGTTCCATTATTGACAATAAACATTCCCAACATTGCTTTAGTATTGGCAGGTAACCAATACAAACGTTTTCAAAAGGTATATTAGGTCAGCACTGTATGTCTGTTAAAACTTATATGTGACGACATTTGGAATTAAAACAATAATATATGTATTGTATTACATACTAAGGTTTTCCCAATTAAATTTGCATGAATATATCTGTATATAGTCTTGAAGACCGTACTTTGACTTCTAATGGTTTACTTTTATAGATTTTGACTTGGATGGAGAGTTGTCTCATTGGCACTCATACCATATCTTCTTATATCTATTTAAAAAGTTTTTGCCAACGATGAAAGCACTTTTCCATATTTGTTCCTGTGCAAGTACATCTTGATGACAATTATACATCATAGGCCTTCTGTGAATACGATAATGATGTGTCATAGGTCTCCGTATGGGAAAAAAATGTTGTGACAGACGTGTCATTACAAGACCAAGAAAATATGACAGCTATCATTTTAATCTGTTGATAAAAATTTTATAAAATAATGTCTTACAAAGAATCATGTCATATTTGACAAATTACACACTATTTCCATGAACTGCTTGATGGAAAACAGAAGCTTATATGAATTTTAACGTGTGATATCATACTTCCAAAATAAAGTTAATATTTGTTATTAAGTTTTGTAAAAGGTATGAATCAATTTATGATATCTATATCCCTAGTATAATTTTTTAAAAGCAATTGAATTGTTGCATAAAAAGAAATAATGAATAATGGGAAATTACCAACTATAAAATTAACAAAAGGAAAGAAAGTAGTCTCGTTTTCAACTAAACATATATTACCAAAATATAAAACGGACATCGGTGAGTCTATAGGTTGGAAAAAAAATATGACTTTGTGTTTTAACCATATTTCAGTAATTGCTATTGTTGCTCCCAGAACTAAAAGTATACAAATGAAACTGGTAATTTGAACATCGAGTTTTTTTCTGTTTACTTTTTTTTTGTCAAAAATAGCCTAACATTTGTGTACTGTCTTGTTATCAAAGATTTTCTTTCGACCGTATACAATTATATAATTTTAATAAATACACAGGAGAACAAATGATTTTTCTGAAGAAAAATTTAGTTATACACACTAATTATAAACTCATACTAATACAAAATATAACATACCTTTCCCATCTTTCAAATCTACGTGTTACAGTAACCAACTATGTTACTTAACTCTCATACTGTCAGGATAATTTCTTACTATAAATAAAAATTATTGAACATTTTTAAATTGTTTTGGTATTGTCAAGAAAACAATTCAAGTCATTACAAAAACAACAATATTTGTCAGTTCTAATTTTAAAATGACGAAATTTGGAATTACAATATTTACTGTTACGTTTTATAGAACATACATACTGGTATTTAAAGCCCATTTACTGGGCTAATGTCTGCAGTCATACGTTTAAATTTGATGTATTCAATTATCCAATGTGAAATAACTAACTAAATATCAATATAAGAATACGGATATATAGTATGATGGCCAATGAGACAATTATCCACCAGAGTTAAAATGAAGAGGATGTAAGCAAATATAAGCCACCGTGCGGCCTTTAACAATGTGAATGTGAAAAAAACACACAGTATAGTTGGCTATAAAAAGCCTGACATGAAACATATGAAACAATCCAGTTGAGAAAACTAACAGCCTAATTTATAGCAAAACAATTTACGGATAACAAATTCGACAGACATGAACCAACGACAACCACTGAACTACAGGCTCGACATGAAAAATATGAAACAATCCAATTGAGAAAACTAACAAGCTAATTTATAGCAAAACAATTTACGGAAAACAAATTTGACAGACATGAACCAACGACAACCACTGAACTACAGGCTCCTGACTTGGGACAGGCACATTAAAAACATGTTTGTGAGCGTTCAACCTTCCAATAACCTGCGACAGTGGTGTAACAACACAACATAAGAAATTACTTCAAAATCAGTTGCAGTAGACCACTTTACAGTTCGTTGCATTTCCATGAAAACCTTTAATTTTAGTGAACATCATTCGTGCGTTTAGGGGCATCGTCACTTACTTCCCATGTTGAGCGAGCGATTGAAAAAATATGATGCTATATTGCACGAATCATTCGGCAAATAAAATTCTTATAATTGATAATCAGCACTGCTGTCATTATGGAATTGTGATTAAGTACCTACGGAACAAACATTATTTCTAGTTTATCCTGCATAATGAAGATCACGAAGACGCTTGTAATAGAGCAAGGATACAGGCGATCTCCTCTATCTGGTAAATGACGTCATAAAGGCGCACATAATTGACAATTTTTTTCCGGTGAAGGACATAACTCGAAAGTGGTCTATGGGCTTTTCAAAAGATGAGTACGAGGCACATAAACTACTCACATAAAAACAATGTACACAGCACCAAAAAGATTATTAATAATACAAATGATGGAAAAAGCTGGAGTTTATTTTATTTTGCCAATAACAAGATAGTATTATTTGACAAATAATTGGTTGAACTCTTCAAAAGTTATTACAGTCGGTTCGCTAACCTTTAAACAATTAATAAACAAACGATTTGTCTGTCTGCTATGGCATGGTGTTGGTTGCAAAAATTTGATATTTTTCATTTAAATGCAATATTTCTTATTTAATTAGTATATTTCTTCATTTAAATGCAATATTTTTTTATTTGAATGGTATATTTTTTCATTTAAATGCAATATTTTTTTATTCAAATGGTATAATTTTTCATTCAAATGGTATAATTTTTCATTCAAATGGTATAATTTTTCATTCAAATGGTATAATTTTCATTCAAATGCAATAGTTTTTATTCAATTGGTATAAAATGTCATTTGAATGCAATACTTTTTATTCAATTGGTATAGTGGTTTTTTATTTATATGCAATAATTGCATTATGGGAAATTCTTTGACGTCATAAGGTCAAATTTGCAACAACGTTTGTGATTGGTCGGAAATTGTTTGGATTTCTCCCCTTTCTTTCTAAACATGGGTGACCAAGAATTAAAAAACGCGTCAGAATATCGCCCCTCTAACTAAATCTAACGTTCGTGCGAGTCCTGCACTGGCTGTTAAAATCTTGTGGTCATAACTAGTATTTCTATTGCAAAATTTTGATGGTCATAACGTTCGGTCCACTTTTCAAAAACCGTTTCATTGTATATGGATTTATATGCAAGTATATCGGTTTTTTAAATAGATTAGACACCGTTGGTTTTCCCGTTTGAATGGTTTTACACTACTAATTTTTTGGGGGCCCTTTACAGCTTGCTGTTCGGTTTGAGCCAAGGCTCCGTGTTGAAGACCGTACGTTGACCTTTAATGGTTTACATTTACAAATTATGACTTGGATGGAGAGTTGTCTCATCGGCACTGATACCACATCTTCTTATATCTATATACAACGTAAACCAGACGTTTCTCAGACTGTTTTCTTTTTTTATTAAATCCTTTGCCGCGCGTTGTGTACTGATTGATAACTCAGTCTGTGAGAACAAGATTTGTTTCAGTACCAGTTGTAATTAGGTTTGAGCAAACTTCCAGTAATTGCAAATACTCTTATGTCGGTGCTTATTGTCTTAGTTTTTTGTGTGTCTCGTATCGATCTTTTGAGTTAATTTGCTGATTTGTGCAGGTTGTTATTTTATTGTACTGTTACACCACTGTCCCAGCTTCGGGATGGGTTGCTCACAAACATGTTGTTGTACTGTTACACCGCTGTCCCAGATTAGGGGGAGGATTGGGATCCCGCTAACATGTTAAACCCCGCCACATTCTGTATGTATGTGCTTGTCCCAAGTCAGAAGCCTGTAATTCTGTGGTTGTCGTTTATTGCTTTGTTATACATATTTGTGTTTCATTCATTTTTTTGTACATTAATTCGGCCGTTAGTTTTCTCGATTGAATTGTTTTACATTTTTGATTTCGGGGCCTTTTATAGCTGACTATGCGGTGTAGGCTTTGCTTATCGTCGAAGGCTGTACGGTGACTTATAGCTGTTGATTTCTGTGACATTTGATCTCTTGTGGAGAGTTGTCTCATTTGCAATCATACCACATCTTCGTTTTTATATCATCCCTGCCATGTTCTTTATTTTCCCAGGGATGGAGCTTGTAGTTTAGTGGTTGTCGTTGGTTCCTGTCTCGACTCATATTTGATATTTTGTAAATTGTTTTGTTATGTATAATTAGGCTGTTAATTTTTTATTGAATTGTTCACACTTTTCATGTCGTGCCTTTTATAGACGACTTTACAGTATCAGGTTTTTGTCATTGTTGAAGGCCTTACGATTGTCTACAAAAAGCATTTGTCTACATGACGGCAAAAAGCTCTACAGAGCTTATGTTTGTAGTATTTCATGTAACCCGACTTAAAATTATTTTTTCTTATCTTATCTTATCTATAATTGCTTACATCCACTTCATATTTGAACTCCGGTGGATAGTTGCCTTATTAGCAATCATATTCCATCTCTTCATTTATATACTATATACGTGACTTCTAAACTCGTGTTTTCCTGAACAAGCATGAAATAATTTTCACTGGGCGTTAAAATTAGCAACAAACAATCAATCAATTTAAACTTGTGTTAAATAAGAGGAAAACCATTTGATATTTATTTATTTGTTGGGGTGGGGGACAGAAGGATTTCATATATGAATATGGTTGCCTGGTAAGAGCTGAACAATAGGCATGATTAGCGACAGATTGAAATGAATAATAATGCCATCTCTTCCCTTCCCCATCCTTCATCTATAAATTTAAACTGACCACCACGGAATAGCCCAATAGTGTTGAAAGTAGCGTTAAACACCAATCAATCAAAATCCCTTCCCTAGAATATCAAATAATCGTCCCTTTACTGTTATTGTCCGTGTAGTTCTTATATTTATCCAGCTTATCGTCCTACAGGGATGTCCTACTAAGGCTGTCATACCATAAAAACGTTTATAAAACAGCTCACATTCTTATATATCTGCATTCACAAATTTATTAATTTTATTTAGACTAAACGACGCCATGTTTGTTATGTGCCTCTGCCGTCAACCTATCAAAAATGAAGAGGTGGAAGAGAGCCAGAAGATCATCCCAATGCAAAAAAACCAGAAATGGACTTCTTCTGGCTCACTTCCGAAGAACAAAAAAAAACCGCGCCCCATTGATATGTTTTAAAAACGCCTTGCCCCTACCCTTTTTTCAAAAAAAAATGGCATTATTAAATATATAAACATATATATAATCATCAAAATTAAAATGCTATTGTATTTTTATAAGACCTACTTTATTACATGACCTGGGACTAATGACATCTATCTATAAGTCCTAGCATACATTAATTATTATAATATGAATATGTTTCTTGTTTTAATAACCACATATGATGCTATGCATGAGTCACCATTTATCAGGACATGAATTGGGTTTACATAGAGAGGATAAGGGACGACATCAGAAAATCAATGAAGGATAAAAAACTTAATTCAAATAGTTTTTTTTTGGGGGGGGGGGTCAAAATTGCTGCAAGTTTTGTTTAATTAACATCGATTTTATATATATCCTTATTGGTCAATCAATTTTTCCCAAATTAAGTTAAGAAAGAAAGGGGGGGGGTAGGGGGGTCAGTGAAAAAAACTATATGAATTAAGTTTTTTTTTTATCCTACATTGAACTTTTGATGTCGTCCCTAATGTGCAAAAAAATAAGGTGCTGGACCAAACCTATAGATAACATAATAAAGAAATGATGAAATATACAGAATACGTTGATTGACTTTTGGTTGCCTTATGTCCAGTGGCAAATATGTCTTGCATGTTTTGGACAAATATAATAGAGATCAAAGGATAAAGAATAGAGTGAAATGGTAAAAACTAAAAGATATAGAATTATAGAAACGATCTTTGATCTGAAACCCCTACCCTCATACACACACTATTACCATTACTGCCAATACTAGCATATATACATCTCTATACAAATATCTAAATTTGAACCTACTCCCCCCCTCCCCCCCCCCCCCCCCCTTTCTAGACACCGAGGTTTTGGATCCGCCCCTTGTTAAATGTGTCTAATTATATACATTTTGTACGGGTCTAGATAATAGCTAAACGTACAATCATATAATTTGTTGGATACCTAATTATATTATATAATGTGTCACAAAATAAACTTGTATACCCCCCTTCCCAATGCAGTATT